GTCTACCCGAAGATTCACAGCCCTAGTATTTAAATTGAATCAATTATTCCTTTCAGCACAAACGCGCCATTTCTCTATGTAAATTAGGCTAATTAGATCGTATCTTGTACACAAAACTTTTTTGCTCGGCGAAACAGGAGGGCAGAGCGCGATGATTGAGTATCAGGAAGAGAAGACGAGGGCCGATCACACGATTTATTGCGGGCGTTTGTTTATGCACAGCTCTCTTAAGGTCCCGCCGCAGCATCTCAGTCGGGTTGAGGTCTGGACTTTGTCAGCTAGTCTGGTGTAGATTCGCTGGTGTGCTTGGGATCCTTGTCCTGTTGCATGACCAAGTTTCAGCCAAGCTTTAGCTGTCAGAAAGACGGCCTCACATTTGACTCTAGAATGCTTTGGTACACAGAGGAGTTCATAGTCGACTCAATGACTGAAGTTGCCCAGGTCCTGTGGCTACAAAACAAGCCCAAATCATCATCTTAACTGTTGGTATGTGGTGTTTGTGCTGAAATGCTGTGTTCGGTTTTCTGTGCATTATGGCCAAACATCTCCACTTTGGTCTCATCTGTCCAGAAGTCAATATTGTTCCAGAAGTCTTGAGGTTTGTTCAGATGCAACTTTGCAAACCTAAGCCGTGCTGCCATGTTCTTGAGAAGAACCTTTCTCCGGGCAACCCTTCCAAACATGCCATACTTGTCCCATCTTTTTCTACTGCCATGAACTTTAACATGTAACAGGCCTGTAGAGTCTGGGATGTAGCTCTTGGGTGTTTTGTGATTAAACCTTGTGGTGAATTTGCTGGAACGTCGTCCACTCCTGGGAAGATTGAAAACTGCCTTAAATGTTTTCCACTTGTGAATAATCTTCCTCACTGTAGAATGATGGACTTCAAATTGTTTGGAAAGGGCCGTATAACCCTTCTCAGATTGACGGTAGTAACAATTGCTTCTCTAAGATCATTGGTGATATCTTTCCTCCTTGGCATTGTACTGTGTACTTAGTTTTTCACACATGGCTTCTCCATTTTGCCAATTCCATTTAAGGAAACGATTGTTTATGAAGGCACCAAAAAGTGGACTGTGCTTTGGTTGCTTCCGATCAGCACATTTGACCTTTTTATAAAAAAAAAAAAAAAAAAAAAAAAAAAAAAAAATATTGAATTGCAGGAGTGATAAAGATTCTATTATTACAATGCCCCTCGATACTGTAAAAAATTATTGTAATTTTAACTGTAAAAGACTGTAAAATTGCGACAGTAAAAAAAACTGTTAATTTGTAAACAGCAACTTCCCATACTATATAGGAAAAAAATTATAATGTAATAAATGTAATAGATCTAACCTTACATTTTGTGTATTTTTACAGTAATATATTGTCAAATGTTCAATTTTTGGAAGTAAAAGAAGAACCAATCATCTTATTAGGGCTGTCATTGTTAACGCATGCGATTAATTCAAAATCCTTAACGAGTTTAATGATAATTTAACACAATGAAGCACGCCTAATTGCGTCACGCAGTTAGATGATCTTGTAGAAGTCAAGAGTTTATCACACTGAACTAGGGCTACACGATTAAATCACAATTTACATGAAATCGCATTTAAACCGATTTGGCTTATCGCGATTACGAAATCGCAAAGGTTGCGATTATTTTTTATGTGCAGAGATTGTCATTGATGTACGGCTCTGTAAACACGGCTCCATCTGAAAGCACTGCGAGTTTGAGTCGCTTATAACGTGCATTTGAAAAAGCAACAACAGTCAAACATCTTTCCAAACATGAGAAGCATTTATGAAGCTCTTGTCCAACAAAAGACAACATTTAATAACATGTTTTTACTCCAAACTCACTTCATAACGACAGTTGAGCTCATCCTTCTGTGAGATTATGTGCTTCTTACACAGAATAAGGCATTCGTGTGTTTATTAGTCATGTTTAATTAAAGCGTTTCAATCTTCTGTTTATTCAGCTACAGATATGATGCCCATAGGGATTTCCTGGAATGATGTTATCGTACTTCTGCGGGGAATATTTGGCCTCTGGTGTTCAGAAATACTCGCTGCCTTTGCCAAATCGCGTGCGATTAATCGTGCAATCCTACACTGAGCATCTATAATGATGCAAGCACCTTAACCCTGGTAGGCGGACATTTCTATTCTAACATTTCGCAAACAGATTTCACTTCTCTGTTTGCGATCAGATCATTTTAAGTCGTTAAACTCCAGGTAAGTTTTCAGTCCAATGATCCAGTGAGTTGACCAGATGATACGCAAACCACGTTTCTCTGCTGGATAAAGCAAACCAGCGTCTCGCTAGTAAAGTTTTGATGGATGCGAGTTGTCATCAAGGTAAAGACGATTGCATTGATGTACAGGAGTCGTACAGTGGCACATGAGTCCATTATTATTGATGTGCAAAACAAACCGTGTATGTGCTCTATAGATGCACATTGTGTTTTTAAATCAATGCATTGTTAACTAATGGCGTGATTTGTATATGTATATTTTCTGTAAAACATAACTTGGACACAGTCACCTCTGATAACAGATCACTCTAAATTGTAGACACATGCATTTCCTCTAAAGCTGCTTTGAAATTATATGTGTTGTGATTATATGTGTTGTAAGTATATGTGTTGTGAAAAGCGCTGTACAAATAAATGTGAACTAAATTGAATTGAATTGTTATGAACAGACACATTTCAGTGCATTCACATTGTTTCCACACACTTCAGGATAGTGTTTGTGTATGTTCAGAATATTTTGTTGAATCAAATGGTGAATATCGCACCATAAATAGGGTAGTTGACAGCTTTAATAATTTTTTTGTAAACATTGGCCCTGACAATTAACAAATAGAGCACAATATTGAAAAGATGGATAAAAACTTAAACACTTTTTTCTTTCAGCAGTTGGTGAGAAAGAAGTAATGGATATTGTCCAAAAATAATTATTCTATGGACTGTCATTCCATCAATATGGCACTATTAAAAAAAAGTTATAAATAATATTAAAACACCTCTAATGCACATCTGTAATCTGTCATTTTTAAATGACTGTGTTCCCAAGAAAATGAAAATTGCAAAAGTTATTCCACTGTTTAAAAACGGAAATAAACGTAATTTTACCAATTAAAGACCAATTTCATTACTTCCTCAATTCTCAAAAATCCAAGATTTTTTTTTTTTTTTATTCTCGATTTAAAAAATTTCTTGGAAAATATACTGATTAATGAAAGTCAATATGGATTCGGAAGCAAAAGATCTACATCTATGGCTTTAATGATGCAATAGAAGAATTATCAAATGCACTGGACAACCATTGGAATATTTATTGATTTGAAAAAAGCCTTTGACACTCAATCATGCAAGTCAAGAAACTAAAGGTATGGGATACGCCTGGGTAGAAAGCTTGTGATGGGTGAGTCCTCATAACTGTCCTGTCATTTCTTTCGGTGTCCCCCAGGGGTCAATGTTGGGCCCTAAATTATTCCACTTGTACATCAATGATATATTTAATGTTTCTTAAGTGTGTTTTGTTTGCAGATGACACCAACATTTTCTATTGTGATGACAATTATGATAAGGTTATTAATGTTGTAAATACTGAACTAAGGAATATAACAAAATGGATGGAGCAATAAATTATCTTTAAACTTTAATAAAACTAAAGCCATATTATTTGGTAAAAAATACGGAAAAGATGATTGAGATAGATGGGATACAAATTGAAAATGTCTCTGAAATAAAAAATTTAGGAGTTACAATAGATAATAAACTAACTTGGAAAACTCACATCAGACACATAAAAACCAAAGTCTCCAAAAGCCTTGCAATAATAAATAAAGCTAAACATGTCCTTGATTACAATACACTCTGTATTGTTCCCTGATAAAAAGGGCTAAACATACCATACACAATATCTTGAACACACAAATCCACTTTTTCTCAAATCAAAGTTATTAAAAATACAGGACCTTGTCAAATTCAACACGACACAACTCTTATTTAAAGCATTTAAAGCAACTCTTATTTTAAAGCAAGGAATAGTCTAGGGCTCGAACTTAAACAATGTCAAAGTATTCACCAGTTTAAAGTCTTGTCACAGGAGGGCAGGTTTAATCGTCTATTGTTGTATTTATGTATAGGCCGTGTTATCTTACCTTGGTATTCGGATTACCATCGCTGGTATCACTATAATTGTTACCTGTGGTAATATATGGTGTGTATTTAAGATATGCCGTGTTTTTTTAAGGAAAAAAGGAACAATTAAGGAAGCAGCTACCTTTGTTTTTCTTCCTTTAACTGTAACAGACCGGGGTTAGTCTAAATAAGTCAGACTTCTTCTCACTCCGTTTCGAGCGATTGATTGATTTATGTTGTTAAAAATAAAATGATTCTTATTGCCTTTGTTATATGTCACTCTATTGCTCGAAATAAAAATTCAAATTCAATTCAACATGTAATAACTATAAATTATGCATAATTACAAGCAACTAATCCTAAACCAAACCACAACCCTAACCCTATAGTACATGTTGTTAATTAACATTAGCCTACTCAATACCAGGCTACTACTTAATTGAATAATTACACTGTAACAACAACAACACCTTAAAAATAAAGGGTTACACTTTATTTTAAGGTGTTCCTGTTACAGTGTAATCATACATTTAAGTACTGAGTATAACAATTAACTACATGTACTTACTAACTTTGGTTTAGTTGCTTGTATAATTTCTAGTTATTACATTAGTAGCTACATGTGTAACGAACAATAAGTAAATAGTAAATAAAGTGTTACCAAAATAAAGTGTAACCTTGCCAGTATAAACAAACAAATTGAGAATCCTATAAAATGAAGGAACAGAAGCATTCCGAGAAATGATCCGCAGTGATTTTCCCCATGTGGCAGATGATGACGTGCACCAACAGCACAATTAATGCAGATATTACACATTGAGCAAATATCAGGGCATGGATTGTGACGTAGTGCGCCTCTATGCGTCAAATAAGGAAGTTGGAGATCCCGGTAGTTCCCCTTAACTTTAGAGAACTATCAGATAGTTCAGTCACAACAGAAGTACCGAGTTCGTGCCTCGCCAGCGCATGCTTGTAAAAGTCTATCATATAAATAGTCCTTTCATTGTTTTCCCGTCTTTGACGTGGAAATACGTGGTCATATTCTCTCAGCGGAACTGGTAGAGAACCCAGAAGAGGAGAACGCAGATAACAGGGAGGATGGAGGTTACTCACCTGACGGAGGACGAAATGGCCGATATAAAGAAGGAAGTGAGTAGCTATCCTGTGTGTGAAAGTGTGCGTTAAACAGATAGTCTGTGATCATGTTTGCGAGTTTGGCAGATTTTGTGTCCGATAAAGTGGAAGTGAAAGCGGTGTGAGGCGGTTGGTCATAAACCCGATCGAAATATATTTATTTGAGTATTTTCATTGAGTTGCTGCAATGAGCTGTAAACAGTAACCATATAAAGTGCACACTTGAACTTTCTAGGCTTAATTATATTGGCCTACGCGATAAACATTATATTAGACATGTTTAAAGTCTAACTCACTAATGATTCAAAAACAAAGGTTAACCTTTATTTCTATGAGTATCTCTCCTGCTTCGTTTAATTAGCCTAGTTGTGAGAAATCTAATCATAGTGTCTGAGTAAACATGTATTCCTGTGATTTGGTAATATTTCAGTCCCCCAGACTTTTTAAAGTAGGCTGTGGTTCACCAACATGATTATAATGAATACAAATTTCATTTAAATATATATTTTTTTAATCATAAAATTATGCCTTATTTATATCTTACATCAGTCATTTTGTCATGTCCCTGAGGCTGAATTTTTACTATGGAAAATTTAACAAAATGTGCACAGTGTCTATAATTAATTTTTTTGGCAATATTGTTACTATTTTATTTGTGTTACTTTCTTGTGATTTTTTTTTTCCAAAAAAAAAAAGCAAGATATATAAAGTTATGTCCCTCAGTCTGAATATAACACGCTATAATAATGTAAACTCGACCCATACGTGACATCATTTCCCGGAAATGACATCATTCAGGTCTCTAACAGTGCTGCAGAAGATGAAACTAGTATCATACTTTTTATTCATATTTTTGAGGTGTATTTTAGTCAGGGAGGGCACTGTCAAGCTTAACAACTCAACCCCATCACATAAAATTAAGATGGAAAAGATTATTTTAAGTAGGCCTATATGCAATGTGCTTATTTCACTGCTGCCATGGTCTACTCTCCATCACTATACGAGGAGCGGGGGCCATTTTGAGCAAAAAACCTCAACGATTTGTGGTTGTCATGTTCAAGCTCAAACCATGACAACTCATAATTTTGTTATAGACTTTTTGATGTGTCCACATATGTTGACCCAGAAAGAAGGGCACAATATTAGAGAGAGATAGGAACTACACGAGCTTCCTCCCGGGTTAGTGACATCACAAACCCTAAAATTTACATAAACCCCACCCTTGGGAACACGATTTATAGATTATCATGACAGAATATGCTAATCAAGGACTAGAAGATAGCATCAGAAACTTAAATTCATCAACTAACCATTCAGAGATGTCCTGTTGCTTCTACATGTTGTCACTTCTTCTTGAGTCTCTACATCTTTGTCTGACTCAGCTTTGAACATAAAAGGCTAAATGTTTTTGAGATTTTGTGTGTGTGTGTCTGTGTGAGGTAATCTGAGCTGCTAACACACACACACACACACACACACACACAGAAGCTTTTGAAGCTCCGCCCTCTGTGGGAGCAGCAGCTCATTTGCATTTAAAGGGACAGACACAAAAACTGCATTTTTGTTAACCCTCAAAAAGTGACCATTTTAACATGCTATATAAAAATATCTGTGGGGTATTTGAGCTAAAACTTCACATACACACTCTGGGGACATCAGAGACTTATTTTACATCTTGTGAAAAGGGCATTATACCAGCCCTTTAGTTCTGAACGTGTCGCGTGTTCATATTGCACCAAATGCAACACTGCACTCGGTGTTAGCATTCGTACATATAGTACACATATTCGGTGTTGATTTCTACCGAAGCTTCGAAGCTCAAAAAAATGTTATTTGGACCAGCCCTAGATTTTGGACATACCTCTTGGTTTACATATTTTTCACTTACTATAATATAGTATTGGCATATTCAGAAGCAGGGATAGTGCTTTTCAACTCCTGTCCTCAGGATACCAGAATGTTTTAGATGTCACACTAATTAAAACACACTGCTTTATAGAACATACTATTTTAAAATATCATGATTTCATTTCTTTGACCAATGGTTAAGTGTGCTGTGATTGGTCGAGTGCTTCGAGTGTGTTTGGGAAAGTCCCGCCCCTTTCCATAACCGCCAGTTTAACACACTACTAACTAACTCAGCCAGGCCCCGCCCCTTTATTCTGCGTATGAATTATTATAATGAGGAATATTGTGACGTGTTCGTTCCCGGAAGAAACTCGAGACTACAATGAGTTCAGAAACACTGACACTGATATAGAGAAGAACTGGAGATTTCTCATGTTTAAACAGCAACATCACACACTAAACACAGATGAGAATGAATGATTGTAAATGTCAGCCTGCTGTAAGTATTTCACTTCTGTTGTTTTTCATGGTAGGCCATAGACCGGTTACGACCATACCTGGTGGATAAGATCATTGCTGAGCGGCACTTTGATTACCTGCGCTCCAAGAAGATCCTGACCCGAGAAGACACGGAGGAGATCAGCTGCCGGACCACCCGAGGGAAACGCACTAGCAAACTGCTGGACATCCTGGCAGAAAACCCACGCGGCCTAGACGTGCTGATCGAGTCTATCAAGTGGGGCCGAACTCTCAACTTCATCATCGCGAAGATCACAGATGAGGTGCAGCGCGTGAAAAACGAGCGGCTGGAAGCTTTAAAAGGTAAGAAAGAACATTATTTAAAGGGGTTCTATCATGAAATCAAATGTTGCTGTCGAGTGGAAACCCTGTATCTTCATATTTTGTCATTTGTATTTATTTTTCATTAATCATTGGTCACCCTTTACGTCTGCCTGTGGGTTTTGCAAATATCTAACCAATAAAAAGTATTAAAAAGAGGTTGTGACTAAACCCTGTAACTCCATTGGCTCCTCCAACTGTCAGTCAAAGCTCTTAACTCCGCCCCCTCTATAGTGAATGTAGGGCTGCATGCAGTCCGGAGCGCCTCTGCTTGTTTGCAATGCGAGGGTGAATAAAGAACTGGCTGTTTGAATAAATACAACGTGTTATTTACTGTAGAAAACTCTCTCCCCCGGTTTAAGCTGTTTTAACTTAAAGCAACTTGCACTGGCATCTCTTAAAATATGTCAGTGCCATTGATTTGTCTCAAGATGCACACCAGTAATGTTTTTAAGGCAGGTTTATAAAAGCTGTCCTAAATGAACCAAGGCCTAATCCTGGCTTAATCTAAGCCCTGTTTGTGAAACCAGGCCAATATATATCAAGGCTAATTTCTTATGTATTTGAGGAGCAGAGAAAAGTGTCTTAGTCTGTGATTTGTCGTCGAGTCACAGCCAATACTGTCTTAAATACCCTGTGTGAAGAAGAACCAAATGACAGGTAAAATGAAGCGTCCTCATACTGTAGCTACAGATAACTTAATGACCTGTAATGTTAATGCGATGCACTTACTGCTGTACTAATGATGTTCAAAAACGTTGCGACTCCATTGGAGTGTGATTTCGGTAAAATCTTAATAATATTGTAGGTAATAATACACATATAAGTGTCTGACCATATATAAATCCATAATTTTATTCGTTGAAAAGTAGCAGTTTTGTACATATGAGGTTTCTGCCCGACAGCGACAATATAAAAATGTTTCCTTATTTTCTATTAGATGAAAGTGCACCACTTTCCAACCTCAGAGGCCGTTTACACTGGTGTTCGGATCAGTTTAGGTTATTTTGACCACATGTTGTCAGGCGTGACATGCCTTTATCACTAAAAAACTTAGTAAAGTTATTGTTTGCACCAAGAACACTCATATATTTGCAGCAAAATAATTGTCAACCCTCATTCTGATCCTCTGCAAGGATTACCTTTAAGACTTGTCAGTAAACGCCCACTGATACGGCTAACATTATTGATAGAAATAAATCATCCACTTGTGCAGAGACACGAACACACTGTCTAGAACTACGCACCAAATTATAAACTCTGATGCATTATAAACTCAGATGCATTATAAACTCTGATGCATTATAAACTCAGATGCATTATAAACTCAGATGCATTATAAACTCTGATGCATTATAAACTCAGATGCATTATAAACTCAGATGCATTATAAACTCTGATGCATTATAAACTCAGATGCATTATAAACTCAGATGCATTATAAACTCAGATGCATTATAAACTCAGATGCATTATAAACTCAGATGCATTATAAACTCTGATGCATTATAAACTCAGATGCATTATAAACTCAGATGCATTATAAACTCTGATGCATTATAAACTCAGATGCATTATAAACTCAGATGCATTATAAACTCAGATGCATTATAAACTCTGATGCATTATAAACTCAGATGCATTATAAACTCTGATGCATTATAAACTCAGATGCATTATAAACTCTGATGCATTATAAACTCAGATGCATTATAAACTCTGATGCATTATAAACTCAGATGCATTATAAACTCTGATGCATTATAAACTCAGATGCATTATAAACTCAGATGCATTATAAACTCAGATGCATTATAAACTCTGATGCATTATAAACTCAGATGCATTATAAACTCTGATGCATTATAAACTCAGATGCATTATAAACTCTGATGCATTATAAACTCAGATGCATTATAAACTCTGATGCATTATAAACTCAGATGCATTATAAACTCTGATGCATTATAAACTCTGATGCATTATAAACTCAGATGCATTATAAACTCAGATGCATTATAAACTCAGATGCATTATAAACTCTGATGCATTATAAACTCAGATGCATTATAAACTCTGATGCATTATAAACTCAGATGCATTATAAACTCTGATGCATTATAAACTCAGATGCATTATAAACTCTGATGCATTATAAACTCAGATGCATTATAAACTCTGATGCATTATAAACTCAGATGCATTATAAACTCTGATGCATTATAAACTCAGATGCATTATAAACTCTGATGCATTATAAACTCAGATGCATTATAAACTCTGATGCATTATAAACTCAGATGCATTATAAACTCTGATGCATTATAAACTCAGATGCATTATAAACTCTGATGCATTATAAACTCAGATGCATTATAAACTCTGATGCATTATAAACTCAGATGCATTATAAACTCTGATGCATTATAAACTCAGATGCATTATAAACTCTGATGCATTATAAACTCAGATGCATTATAAACTCAGATGCATTATAAACTCTGATGCATTATAAACTCTGATGCATTATAAACTCAGATGCATTATAAACTCAGATGCATTATAAACTCAGATGCATTATAAACTCTGATGCATTATAAACTCAGATGCATTATAAACTCTGATGCATTATAAACTCAGATGCATTATAAACTCAGATGCATTATAAACTCAGATGCATTATAAACTCTGATGCATTATAAACTCAGATGCATTATAAACTCTGATGCATTATAAACTCAGATGCATTATAAACTCTGATGCATTATAAACTCAGATGCATTATAAACTCTGATGCATTATAAACTCAGATGCATTATAAACTCAGATGCATTATAAACTCTGATGCATTATAAACTCTGATGCATTATAAACTCAGATGCATTATAAACTCTGATGCATTATAAACTCTGATGCATTATAAACTCTGATGCATTATAAACTCAGATGCATTATAAACTCTGATGCATTATAAACTCAGATGCATTATAAACTCAGATGCATTATAAACTCTGATGCATTATAAACTCAGATGCATTATAAACTCTGATGCATTATAAACTCAGATGCATTATAAACTCTGATGCATTATAAACTCTGATGCATTATAAACTCTGATGCATTATAAACTCAGATGCATTATAAACTCAGATGCATTATAAACTCAGATGCATTATAAACTCTGATGCATTATAAACTCAGATGCATTATAAACTCTGATGCATTATAAACTCTGATGCATTGAAAAGCCTTCATATAAACATGATCCCATTCGATCCCATTCGATCCATCTGAATGAAATTTGGATTGGACTGGAAGGTGTGGATAGGATACTCTGTGCATATGTGCAGTGCCACGATGCGTATTTTTACATACGTTGTCAAGTTACTTCTTGGATTTCACACTTCAGTTCTTCCTCTAACTTGAAAAAGGGCTTAGTCAACCACACACACAGGAATCATCTCAAAAATAGCTTTTGCTTTCTCTTCAATAAAGTTGTTACAATCTTGATTTGCAGTCTGTGATTCATATCACAGTAGATTGGAACCGATGAACTTAGTTTGCAGTTAGATTAGTCTTGAAACACTCATTCCTTCAGTAGAAAAGTTCAAGCTCAAATTAGGTTGATAACCTTTAAAGAAGAATACAATTCCTAATTACAATCAAGCATTTGACACCCTATGCATTACCACAATATACACATTTTCAACAGACTTTTAAAAGTCATATATGAATCGTATGCACTCTAATGCAGCCTTATCATTCTCAAAGTAAAAATGTCTCAAAACATGTAAACATTACAAATAACACACAAGATGGCATTATAAGTTAACTGAGCTTCAAACTGGCATCCTACCAGCAGCGTCTCGGGTTTATTAATCACTGATGCGCATCCAATTTCTGTTGTACTCATTCACTCACACCTCATAACTTTTCTAGTCACAAAGTTTTTTCCTCAAACGTTTTACGTCATGCAAACATGCATATATAAAAGTCAGCTTTGATTTTAGATTTGCAAAAACAACAGTTACACTGGCATGACTTTCTGCGGCTCCACGACTGAAGTTTGTCCTGAACAACACGTGGACATGAACACGTCAATCGGACTGCAACGTTTAGGGTTAATATACTGTATCGATAACGTTCAGAATACCCAATCAGACTGGATTCGTTCCGACTGATACAAGTTAGTGCATGCAAACAAACCTTTTGTGGTGAAAGGAGAAAATGTGTAATTTTGGCTTGGTTTGAGCAAATGCTATTGAGTTTTTAAGGTCTGAAACTTATTTTTTATAGAACAATTACCTTTTATATGTCAAACATTTTTAAGGGCAAGCTCAAAATGTTTTGGACCCCATGCACATGTGTGTTTATCACTGTCCACTTGTGATTGGATCGACCAAAGCGTATGGAAATCGGGCCAAACGTTCCCTCCATATTAATAGTTAACGGCATTCACACTGGGAGCGTGAGCTGGCGTCCATACTTCACTGAAGCGGAGTATGATATATGATATGTATTATTAACAAGATCCATCTGCTGCATTTGAAATTAGTTAATTATGTTTGCAAGTTAAACATTATTAAAAGATGAGCGGATGCTGATGAAAACAGTGACTCAAAAAACACTTTCAGCCTTTTTTGTTTTTGGCCATAGGGATGAAGTGGCAGTGGTGAACGGTTTACATTTTGAGTTTTTGTCTTTTTATGACTCATATAGTATGATATAGTGAGAATATGAAGCTCAAACTTGAGGGAAAAACACCTCAGATTTATTCAGAGGCACAAACTGAGCAAACATATGCCATTTGGTGCAGATGCTGATACTTACATGAAATGCATATAAATATCAGTCGTGATTCTATATCTGCCAATAATATGTCATAGTAAGATGATATTTAAATGCTTAGTTTTATGATCAAAGCTCTGAAAACGTAATGTATTGCAATACAAGGATAATTGAGAGATGAACGAATAAACCTTGATAAAGCCTGATGATCATATTTGAGACTCATGATTTTTCTATAAAATTATGTCTGGATAATCAAGTAAACCGAAGCTGCTTCAGTCCAGCTGAAATATAACTAACAATATCAAAGTTACGGTATTAAAGACGTTTACTGGATAAAACAGTGAACGGAAGGACTGGAGGAGATTGACTGAGACACGTTAATCAGCCGTTTTGATCATGTTGATCATTTAGAGGCCTTAGAGTAGGCTTTATAGGGTTAATGGTTATTTTTGCAGCATAATTAGTTTAGATTTAAATCTTAGCTTAAAAAGATGGTTGTTGTATTATAGCTTTAACAGTTGGGTGTATTTGTTCTTAATGTAACATTTACGTCTTCAGATCTCATCATAGAATAGATTGTTATAGTAGTTGAGTTCACAAGATTAAGAATGTAGACAACAGTGTAAAAAAATTATAAAGCCAGGTAGTATTTTACCATATGAAGGTAAAAATTGTATTAGACAACAGTAAAAGCATGTGTGTGAGGCTGTGAGCAGAGCTGGAGACGGTCACTCATTGTTTCTCATTTCACATGCAAAGGGTTTTTATAGTCGGCATGAAACAGAAGTTGCGCTCGTCTTCTCTTCTCTATTGTGCTGTATATCTGAGTGAAGCGCTTCTGGAACAAGAACAAATATAGGGCGGGGCTTGATTTTATCTGTGGGGAATTGATTGCATGGTTGTGGTTTGCTATTGGTGGATCTCATGTGAGTGACAGGTTATAGCCCCGCCCACGTCATCAGAGAAGAGGGTTATTCTGATTCAAGATTTCCAGGAACAGGAATTAGGGATGCAACAAAATGCAAATTCTGGGCCAAAACCAATTCTGGATGCGCTTGGCCGAAAACATAACATAAATAAATAATCAATTAATTGTACAAATTGATTGAAGAAGAGTTGTACAAATGTTTGCACTCCAGTTTTTTGGTGAAATATAAACATTTAAATGACGATAAACTGTAATAACTTGTTTTGCTGACAGATTTATTCTAACATACATCAGATAATAAAGACATCACTAACAGATTAATTACAAATATAATGAAATATATGTAATACAGTGCATATATTTAGCAAAATGCTCTTCTCTAGAGTTATTTGTCTAGTTAACTAATGTGTTTATGGTCATTGAATAGCTTTCTTGAGGTAAATTTAAGGTTAAGGGACATTGTAGAGCCTGTAAGCTGTTTTATTGATGTCTTTCCTCTGTTGAAACACTGATTGAGCGATTGCATGAGACATGATTCATTTCAGTTTTATCATTCAGTTTATGTTCATTGATGTTTTGCTGCTGTAGTAGTAAAGAGGAGGACATGATCGGTTCAACTGAGCAGCAATTCGTCACATTAAAGAGACACAAAACAACATTTATTGTTTGAATTCCGTAATAAAATTGCACTAAAAAAAAGTTGAGACTTAGCTTCATATTAAAGTAATAAACTATTGAGGTTTAAGTTTATGAAAATGATTTTGCAGTACAGTAGTTTTCCTCTCTCAAATATTACAAGCACACAAACACATGCTCAGTTATTTTTATTACAGGCATACAAACCACACCCTGACATCCAATACATCCAATCGGTTCTATAATATGCATAAGCAGAAAACGTCTCGGTTACGTGTGGTAACCCTCGTTCCCTGAAGGAGGGAACGGAGACGCCACGTCGAGACCGACGAATAGGAATCTCGCTAGAGAGGCCAATCTACTTCGAGTGAAACTAAACGAGCCAATGCACAGTGGCGTGCAATCATTTGCATCAGCTGCTCTGCCACGCAGCGCGGGTATATGATGAGCAGGAGGTGCGATTGCACTTTCGTTTTTTGCTGAGGAGGTTTTTCCCAGCGGAGGTGGCAACCCTCGTTCCCTTCAGGAACGTAACCGAGACGTTCCTCTTCAGTCGGTCAGTCGACGCCATGTCGAGACAGACGAATAGGAACCCCTACCAAAGGGCCACAGCTGCTGACCCAATCCAGCGCCCTGTGCAAGCCTCTTGCCCCTTCTTGCCTGGAAAGACGATAGGAGAGGGCTTACACGGAGTATATCTGTCACTGTTGTTCCGTGATAACCCATACAGTGAGATTATTGGATAACACTGGGAAAGTGTGCCTTTTCTGAGAACGCTGCGGAACCCACATTCTTCCCCAAAGGTGTTATGTAGAGATATACATATGGACTAACCCGAAGGTTGTACTGCATATGAATACTGCGTGACTTAGCCCAAGGGAAAGACACGGACTTCCGTTTAGGAGCAGCCGTGAAAGAATAGCCATATGGGATCCCCGCAGGGTCACACAAATGGGGCCCAACCTAGACCCGGTTCTCAAGAATTCAACGGATAAAGGCCTGGCGCCGGTCGCTCCGCCATATCTGGGCCGAGGGTGTTGGAGGACTCAACAGGTTTTTCACACTGGAGTAATAAGGGTGCACATTAGGGTGACAGAGCCGGGCCTTTCAGTGCTTCTACCCATTTAGGAGACCGGCTCTGCGCTGCCATATGCCCCTGGACCCTCTGAAAAAATGTCAGTTGGACCGCCGTCCTGTTTTTGAGCGTGTTCAAGCAGTTCAGCACCGACCGTCTGTGCAACCGAATCCAACTCCATACCGAGAAAAGAGATCCTTTGCACGGTGCTCTTTTCCCAGTTGACCTGAAGACCCAACTGGCTGAGGTGCCTGTGTTCACATAACTGATCTCGAGAGTGTGCTAGTATGAGCCAGTCGTCGAGATAGTTGAGGATGCGAATGCCCTGTTCTCTCATGGGAACAAGGGCCCCCTCCGTGACTTTCCAAAGGACTGGAATTCACTGCCCTCACAAATTAGAAGTGCTCCATCTCTGAAATTCCCTTAATTAAGGTTAGTTTTAGGGGTCAAGGGTTAGTACATAGTTATTACACTAGAATCCCTTAAAACTTATTATTTTTTAAAGAAGCTTTTGGGTGAAACGTGATTGTTGTGATTCTCCATGTAATATATTTTACGGTTTTGTTTAACTTATGTTTTGTTTATTGATCTTAAATTGTTTTTTTTTAGATTTATAACATTGTTTGTGTGCATGCACTGTAATAGTTTGTATGTCATGCTTATTTTATGTTAAGCGCTCTGAGAATTGACTTCTAAAAGCGCTATACAAAATAATGTTATTATTATTATTATTATTATCATCATTTTGTAGTTAAATGGCCCTGGGATTAAAAATGGCAGTTTTAATGGGTTTCAATGGGGACATTTTTGACCAAAAGGTCCTGAGTGGAACTTTTTTGTGTTCCTAGTGCAAAATAGATTTATTAAAGGAAATTAGGGTGAAATATAAAAATTCTAATAAAAATACACACCTGTGCCAAAATGTATGCAGTTGGCAATAAGGCAAAATTATTTAAAAAAATTAAACTGAAAAAGACAAAAATGTCTATAAGGACGCACAAGGGTTAAACTTTATTTGCCACAACCAAGACTTATAAAGCATATGTAATACACATACATTTTTCAGAGTTGGCAAATTTTTTTAAATACATAACGAGATAAACACCTTTTATGAAATAAAATACTGTACTACCTCACAAAAACAAGGAATAAATATAAATAAAGAGGATTAATATCCACGCTGTATTTGACTGGAGTATCATCGGTATTTGATGTGTAGGTTCGTTTTTTTCTGATGAATAGCTGAATTTCACTGGTTACCATTTTTCAACATGGGAAGTTTTCAAAAGAGTTCCACATGTGTATATACGCCAGTGACATTGAAAATCATGTGTCACTACGCCCATCAAAACAAGTGTTTGAAAGAGAGGGTCAAAAACAGGATAGAAAATAGCTTATTACTTCTAAATTAGGATGTTTTTGTTGTACAAATGTTGCTTTCATTTTAAGTGGACCTTTTAATTGTACATTTCATGACCTCTTTTAAAGGTGTGCAGCAGTCGTCCAAAGCTTTCAACATCTGGAGACTGTGGTTAATAAAAGAAGTTGCCTTTAATTCACAAGTAATATCCATAACTGATAGTTTGATGGGAGTATGTTATTAAGTCTTTGCAACAAGTTTCTTGGTTTTCTTAAAATCAATGTATTTTTGTTTATCATGTAAGGCCTCCAGACATGACGATATTAACCCCATATGTTCATGTTTTGCAGCGGGGTCCTCAGCCAACTCAGCTTATTCATGCACAAAAAGTGCAAGCAATGACTTCTCCAAAATGGACTTGGACTATGACAAGTACTCCACTATATGTTATCATCCTGAAGGAGAGGCGAGCACATCCGCCTCGGTGGCTACGGGATCCTTCAACCTGCGCTACGGATCGGGTCGAGGGAACGAGGCTGTGTCGGTGTGTGGAGGCAGCGGGAGCATGAACGTGTCTTCCACCAGCTCGTCCAGCCTGCCCAAACCCGGAGACCCGGGAGCTCCGGCTGTTCCCGAGGAGCTGGAGACGGAGGACGCCGACGCCGTGGTCTGTGGGAGCGCTGGGAGTAGCGGAGACGCCAACTTCCAGCCGCTGCGCTCGCGCTCTCTGTCTCCGCACATGTCGTAGCGTAACCTTTGTATTCCCTCTCTGACATTTTACAAACCAATAGTCTATTATGTCCTTCAAACGTCTTTCACCAATCGAAGCATAGTCACACTTTTACAAAAAAAAGTGTTGCTGCTTGTTAAATTTGCCTAAATAAAATGAGTTAAAGCAACACAATTGCTGTATTTTTCCTGCTTAACTCTTTCCCCGCCATTGACGAGTTTTCCCCGAAATCCCAATTCTGTTATACAGTAGGGGGCGCTGTTATTACAGCATCTCCAGATCCCAAAACAAGTGAAGAAGAAGATCTGTGTAAACCAGGAGGAGTGGATAGAAGTTGTTTACACACGTGTAAGCTAACGTGATCATCAAACATTAAACAGCATATATATATCAAAACTGCCTAGTGTTACTGGATGTGATGTTGAAGCTTTGGAAGTGTTGATGAACTCGATCTACTCCATCGAGTACTGCCCTCGGCGAAGGCAACTGTTAGTCCCAGTCGTTTAATGCACAGCTAGCCGTGGTTATCCCTAACATATTGACTGTTTACAAATGAGTGCAAGAAAATATCCAGGCGGCCATGAAAGTTTTTGTGAATATAATCAAAAATGCTGGTGCCGGCTGGAAACTTCAAATAAAACACGGGTGGGGAAATAGTTCAAAACTGTGTCCTGAAGTTTACTTGTTTGTTTTTGTGTTGGGTCTACCAAACTAATCTTTTCCCCTGCATTAACTAAAACTGAGCAGTCGATTTTAAGCTCCCAGCATGCTTTGCTTTGGATCAGGTGAGTAAATGTTGAAATAAGGTGTTTGACATTTAACAGAGTTTATACTGAAGTGTTGCCAGAAGTAAAGCGTGTGGGGAGGTTGTGGCTATGAGTAAAGTTTATAGTGTAAGTTGCTCCACTAAATGAGCAATATCTGTAGTAAAATCAGTGATGAGTAACTTCTTACATGTTCATTAGACACCTACAGAAGATAATGCACAACAATAAACAGGAGTTCGTATTTCTCATTGTTCACTCGTTGTTGTTCTGTAATGTATTGGCAAACGTTAGGTGGACATTACCTCATTATTTTCTGTGTGTTATAGCTGATGAATGTACTTTACTCATCACATGGGATAAAGTCTACTTAAAACAAAATGAGTGCAAATGACCGGTTTGATCGATTCTGTAGGGTTGTGTTTACAGTGAATGATTGAGGACCCTTGAAATAGCTGGTTATTGCTTGAGTTTGAGCATGCTGTTAATTTAGTCTTCTCAACAGGAACATAAATCATTCCAAACTTGTACGACTTTCTTCATTTTCTGGAACACCAGAAGAGAAGTTTTCTGCCCTCTTATAGACAATGGAAGTGGATGTAGACCTGGGACTGTCATAATAATACCAAGCAAGTCCATATGACTGCTCACCTCTTTTAACAGTGCTACACACACACGAATACAATGCGCCACTGCCATCTCCTGAACACTCGCGGTATCACCCAACACACAACAACTGCACTGTCACATTTCCTCTCAAGCCATGTGATAGCTTTGTGTGAGTAACCACTGAAAGTCAGCTGTGGTCACCATTCACTTCCACTGGATGAAGACGAGCCGTTTGGATACTATGCTATAATTTATTCCTTTATGTTTTAGACTTTGAGAGCCCTGTGTTTTGTGTAGTTGTACCTTGAATGTGTGCACAGACTGTCAGAGAGCGGCTCACAAACACTAGAGTAAATGATTTCATGATGATCATAATTAAGAAGATCTATTATTCCTTTTTCCTTTTCAAAGTCTTGTTGTTTCCAGGCTCTACTAGAACAGTAGCCTGGGAAAACCCAGACAACTTCCGGCAAATGTAGATTTGCTCTGAAAGTTAGTCTGGCGAAGAGCTCACTCAAGCCCATTTCCAATCCGCCGAAATCGCGGCACCAATCAGAAGCGTTTTGCCAGACCATAACTCAGTTACACCTGAGAATGGTCTGGTTTTAACCAGGCTACTAGAACAGGTTTTCCTGCTTGAATGTTGATTATTCTCCTCATATTCTCCATTGTTGCGGCTCCTCTCTTCCCAGTCTGTCAGTAACGCTCTGTTTACTTCCTGTCTCTATGAAGCCCCTCCTTCTGAAAAGCACACTGTGCTCTGATTGGTCGGCTGGAGCAGTGTGTTGTGATTGGTCGAGCGCTTCGAGTGTGTTCGGGAAATGTCCCGCCCCTTTCCATAACCGCCAGTTTAACACACTACTGACTAACTCAACCAGGCCCCGCCCCTTTATTCTGCGCATTAATTATTATAATGAGGAATATTGTGACGTGTTCGTTCCCGGAAGAAACTCAAGACTACAATGAGTTCAGAAACACTGATATAGAGAAGAACTGGAGCTTTTTCTCTCTCAGACACCAACATCACACACTAAAGAACGATGAACATGGAGGAAAGCAGAATAGATGTCTTGATGTGCTTGAAGTATTGTACATCCAAATTGTAAAAACAAGTAGAAAGGGATTTTTTTTTTTTACACTGTCAGGAAAATACATTTTCATAATAAAATTTACATTCATTCACAAAAAAAATTGATTTCATGAAAATATAAAATGTGGATTTCAAATTTGAAATGAATTGGAACTGACTGTATATTAATCACAATACACATATTAAATTACTTTACTCCTTCGAGGACATTATAGAAATATCATATTTCATACTAACGGACAGATTAACTTGTATAAACATCACACAAAGTTTTATTACACTTATTTGACAATAATGCTAAAATGTGTTAAAAGTTATATATAAAAAAAAAAGAATCAGCGCTCAGTTTTCGGTAGCACTTTCCTCACACATACTATGCACTTATTATAGTAATTACAATAAATGTGTAATAACTATGTACTAACCCTTGACCCCTAAAACTAACCTTAACCTTATATTACCAGTACTTTCTTATGTAAGCACATACTGTAAAATAAAGTGCAACCCAGTTTTTAATGGACTGTCAACTAAATATGTTAAGAAACTGTCAGCTTGGGATTTTGAAAATGTGTTTTGCCGGTAGCCATGCTTGTGAAACATCAGTGTTATGTTTGAATTACATAATGTGTGTCACTGATGAGTTGAATATAAGAATTCATTCTCAGCTTGATTGACTCCACTCACTCTTATTATAAAGTGATTAGTATTAAGGGAACAGATTCTGGCTGATTCAAGCATTCATTTTAAGTTATTTATGTCTTATTGAGGGATGAGGCATTTGGTATTTTATATACTTCTCAGCCACACTCATGAAGAGTGACAGACACATGTAGTGAATGCTGCATAACCTGCTCAGGGAGGGTTATCTCTCGTCAGCGCATCGCCTGCTCTACGGCATCTGCTGATTTACTGGACAAAATATGTGTCTTTGTCTGACTTTGACTTTTATCAGCACTCAGCTAACTCAACTTGATGATGAGCTCTGGTTATGCCAGTTTGAAAAAACGGAAAGACAACAGCTTCAGTTCCTCAAACATAGGAAAACCCAGTGTGTGTTTAGTGCCGAGTCACTCGGACGCTCTGGCTGGAGAAATGACTGACGGGGAGCCTTTTTTGTGTAGCGCTTCAAAGAATCACCTGGCACGCAATGGGACGGCTAAACCACACGCCGACCCGCCGTTTATGGACAACTTCAGGAGAAAGCTGAAATATTTCTTCATGAGCCCATGCCAGAAGTACAGAGCGAGAGGTCGTAAGCCATGGAAGATGATCCTGCAGATACTCAAGATTGCCATTATTACCATTCAGGTGTGTGATTTCATTTACCCCAGCACTGCTGATTTTTTATGTAGTCTATCAATTTAAAGAGGATATATTCTGCTTTCCTCCATGTTCATCGTTCTTTAGTGTGTGATGTTGCTGTTTGAGAGAGAAGAAGCTCCAGTTCTTCTCTATATCAGTGTTTCTGAACTCATTGTAGTCTTGAGTTTCTTCCGGGAACACGTCACAATATTCCTCATTATAATAATTCATACGCAGAATAAAGGGGCGGGGCCTGGTTGAGTTAGTTAGTAGTGTGTACATTGAAGTTGTCTAAAGTGGACTATTGAAATAAAGTGTTACCTTTTGTATTTGTATCACAGTTGGTCTTGTTCGGATTGAGCAACGAGATGATGGTCACCTTTAAAGAGGAAAATCTCATCACCTTCAAACATTTATTCCTGAAAGGTTACAAGGACAGCAATAAAGACTATGCTCTGTACTCAAGACACGAGGTCCATGACCACATACTGTACGCAATCAGACGGGTAAGTCCTGGAAAACACTCACAAAGCAGATTCAAGAAAACAGTCTTTATTATAATCCAAACACTCAGGAATCCACACAGGAGAAATACCACGACAACTTACAAACGAGAACCGACTAGGAACTGAACTAAACGGGGAATATAAATACACGGCAAACATAAAGAGAAACAGGTGCAAATCATTAGTATCCATAGAAACGAACAAGGACATAATCAGTTACCAAGGAAACAGAAACCAAACAGAGCGGGGAAACAGGAACTAAATTAAACAACAGATTTTTCTTTTTTGGTTGAGTTAGTTAGTAGTGTGTTAAACTGGCGGTAATGGAAAGGGGCGGGGCATTCCCCAAACACACTCGAAGCGCTCGACCAATCACAACACACTGCTCCAGCCGACCAATCAGAGCACAGTGTGCTTTCAGAAGGAGGGGCTTCATAGAGACAGGAAGTAAACAGAGCAACACACAGCGTCGAGGTTCCACGACCCGGTTCGCTGTGCGAAGACAAAAGAGTTGATGACGTGTAATACAGGAGCCCTTTTATAATCACAGGTGCTCCACATGTGACGTCAGGGACTGTTGTCCACCAATGAACATTGGCTCATGCGTCTGACACCGGTCACACTGATGCCGTCAATACTAAGACACACAGCAACAAACACGCAAAATTGAAACTTTAACTACTACTTTCTATGCCCTGAGAATTGTGTGCTGCTCTATGACTGTACCTGTATATCATATATCCACACACACACACACACACACACGTCTGTAAGTGTATGTTCAGTTTCTGATTGCCGTAGTTAGTCTTCGCCTGTGTTCCCTTGTTTAAGCCGGTGTATTTATACTTAACTAAAAGTATAAATATATCAAAGTATATTATATATTTAACTAAACTGTTCTGTTTAGTTGATTGTCTGTTATTGTTGATAAGTTCACTCTTGTGGATTATTATTAGTCTGTTTTTCCCTCGACCCCTTGGTTGTTTGATTCCTACGATGACCTCGAGCAACTTCATACTTCTGGTCTATTCCTCACGGATGTGTTTTATAACGCACTATACAAGACTGGGTTTCATTTCAGCACAACTAAATATTAAGCTGCTAACATTTGAAATGTCTTCACAGGAGTGACTGAAACTGCTTTTATTGTTTGCATCTGGTCAATGATCTGATTTTTTTCGTAGTATCTACACCTCCAAAACCTGACTGTAGATAATCACGCGTTTGAGAAGATCGACGACACGTTCACGCCTCTGTCCCTCTGTCAAGAGTTATATCGACACGCTAACATTTCTCCCGCCGCTGAGACCTTTCACATCGATCCACATGTAGAGACAGGTCTGTACCTTACTTGAGCAAAAACATCAGAGTGATACAGATATCATACAGTTACATTATTAGATGAAAAGTCAAACACCACATAGACACATAAACAACATTAAAACTTGATTTTCACCACAGAGGGACTTTAAAAAGTGTTTTGGTCTCTGGATTTATAGCTCACTGTTTGTGTTTATTAAATATATATATATGTTTCAGAATGTATTTCTATTTATCCCATTTCACCCTGCACAAATGAAGATTTGGAAAATGACATGAACCTCACTTTAGATTTTCAAAGGTGTGTACACTACTTTCTTCTTTGAAATACATTCATCAGTTTTATTGTGTAGAGTTTGTTATTCATGAAATTATATTTGTGTGATCCTTTCCCAGGTTGTTAGCATTAAAAATCTATTTTAAAATAAAGGCTATCAATGTTCAAACTGTACGACACCAAGAGCTTCCTGACTGCTATGACTTCAACATTAATGTAAGTGTTGTTTGAAAGTCTCAATGATAAAATTACATTTCAATATTTCCTTAACATCCAAAGAAAGTTGGTTTCTGCTTTAGAATTCAAAAAGAACATTTTTGTGAAAGTTTTTACTTCCCATAATCACACAATTTCCAGGATTGGCTAATTGAGGTTTGACACATTTTGTCAAATGAAAGCTATACGTTTTCCTCTTCTCCTTCTCCAACCATTTTGTTCATGTCATACCAGTTTGTCACAAGCTGACAAGTGCTTTTTTACCCAGTGTCATCTAGAGACGACTGACTCGATGCTGGATTCCTTAGGTTGAAGTGGGTAATCTGCTGTGTTTGATTACAGATCCTGTTTGACAACAGTGCACACAGTGGGAAAATCAAGATCTCTTTAAGCACTGATGTACAGATAAAGGGTTGTAAGGACTGGAATGTTTCAGACTCAAGTAAGTTGATTTTCTGACACTAGACCATTTATCAGAAACACTTCCTCTCTAAACAATCAGCGGTCATCACATATCACATAAATATACAGTGGCTCCAAAGTATTTGGACACTTCAGTCCATGAATGATTATATTAAACCAAGTGACCAATCTGCAAATAATGCAAGAAATAACTTTTCTTAAAGCTAACTCTACTTTTCTGATCTTTGTCGATTTTAGTGGATGTCTCTACTACATGTTAGCTCCTAAAGTTCACACAGTTGTTCTAACAGAATAACCTCAGGTTTCATTCGTCACAGTAACTGGGCCTGTTCCACAATCTTTGACAGCCAGAAAAGTCCAAATACTTTTGAATTAAACATAATGTTTGCTTGAATATGCACTATTCTACTTACACTATCTGATGGAGATGGAGTAGGGGGCACTATACCCCCTTCCCGTTAATCTGAACAGTTATCCAATTAGGACACTGAATACATATTTAGTCACCTAAAAGTATTCCTGCTGTCCATGTAGCAGCTAACTAGTATGTGCCATAATGAGATTACTGTCTAAAGGTGTCTTTTGCTGTGTTTGTTCCAGCAGACAGTCACTTCCGACTCATTGTTCTGTTTGACTGTGTGGTCATCTGCTCCTGCTTGCTCTCGCTCGTCCTCTGCACACGCTCAGTCTGCACAGGCGTTCTCTTGCAGTTCGTAAGTCTCCTCGTCTGGCGCACTAAGGGTTACTCGGCAAGTCCACTGAGCAAATCAAGCCCATTAAAGCACTGCTCTATTCTATTCTATTCTATTCTATTCTATTCTATTCTATTCTATTCTATTCTATTCTATTCTATTCTATTCTATTCCACTATGTGCTGTTCTATTCTATTCACGGTTGGTGGCTGTAATAAAGCACACGATGAAGGAGATCTTTAATCCAAGAATCAAAACCATGAACAGGACAATAACACAACCATGTAGACAAGTAAAACATGGGAGTCTAAACAATCCGGGACAAGGAACAAACTGAAACAGAGGGCTTAAATACATGGGGCAAGCAAAGGTGCTGACGAATAAATGAACGAGGGACGGGTGAATAAGATAAATCAATGAAACTCATGGGAAAACTGGGTCAACAGAAACCATGCAAACAGAAACTGAACCCAATGAAAACAGACAAAACCGAACATAACTCTGACAATTCTATTCTAGTCTAATGTTTAGGTGCATGAGAATAAAGTAGTATTGTTTGATAATAAAGGCATACAATTAAAGAGTTAAAGTAATAATAATATACGTTAAAAATTTTTAAAATATTTGAGTTAGAATGATGTTTATTAAATCGAATAGCCTAATCAACATTTCAATTAAATTAACATGTTTGTGTAGCACATAATCAAAATTAACTTGTTCTAACTTTATCTTGGGAGTTTGTTCACTTAAAAAAGAGGCAACTGAATGCCTCACATTAATTGAGTTCTGTTTGCTACTTAGTTCCCTTAGTTGCTGATTATGTTCACCTATTGTTCATTTAGTTGCCTCATTACTCCCTGTGGATTTAAGCTCTTAAGGTGATGATAGACTAGGAAACGAGCGAGCAATGTTGCTTGGGCACTTTCCTATTGAGAACAGGCAACACATTTCTATCTGGATACTTTAGATTGGTTGTGTGCCCTGTGTCTCAGCTGGTTGCTGGTTGACGGCAACATTGTCCAGCAACATTGCTCAAAAAGTTGTATCATCACCTTTAGTTTCCTCAGTTCATTGTTCTGTGTTGTTTCAGTTTGCGTGGTTGTCTATATATTTTCTGTGTCTCCTGAGATTTGTGATTAAAGACTGTTATTTTGGATATATTCGTCGTGCGCTTACTACAACCACCACCCCTTACACAAACTTCCACTGGCATTAAGATTAGCACAAAAATACTGTGCGGCGGGAGCTTCATGGAATGGGTTTTTGTGGCCAAACATCTGCATGCATGCCTCACATCACCGAGTGCCAGGCTTCAGAGGGAGTGGTGTAAAGCATACACTACTGGAATCTGGAGCAGTGGAAATGTGTTCTGTGGAGTGACGAATCACGCTTCTCTGTCTGGGAGTCTGATGGGCGAGTTTGGATTTGGCGGATGATAGGAGAACCTACCTGACTGCATTGTGCCAACTGTAAAGTGTGGTGGAGGAGGGATAATGGTATGGGGCTATTGTTCAGGGGTTAAGCTGTATAGACTCCTTACTTTCTGTACGGGAAATCTTAATTCTTCAGAATACCAACTTCCAACTTTATGGAAAAGTTTGGGGAAGGCCCCTTTTCTGGGGCCCAATGCACAAAGCAAGCAGCATAAAGACATGGTTGGGTGAGTTTGGTGTAGAAGAACTTGACTGGCCAGCACAGAGCCCTAACCTCAACCTCACCGAACATCAGGATGAACTGGACTTCATCACTGCTTTACTGGAAGTATGGGAAAAAATTCCCACAGAAACACTCCTAAATCTTGTAGAAAGCCGTCCCAGATGAGTGGAAGCTGTTATAGCTGCAAAGGGGTTACCAACTCCATTTTAATGTCTATTTATTTCGAATGCAATGTCATTACAGTCCCTTTCAGTGTAATGGTCAGTTTTGTCTATATACTGTCTAATTATCAATACTTTTGTCTAGTGTATATAGAACAAAAAAGGAAATGGAATCTGCACTCCAAATCAAATAGAATAAAAAAAAACATTAAGCCTAAACTCCACCTAGTAATCAAACAACAAATCACCATCCTAAAACTAAAGAAAAAAACTAATCAGCAGCAGGGGTATGTAACAATATGTTGATAGTAATACCTATGTTATTAACATGTCATACACATGTTTTTTTCTCCTCAGGAGTACACCACGTTTGTGTCCATTCAGCACAATAAAACAGTTTCCTGGTCTGAGAGAATGGAGTTCATCAATGGCTGGTACATTCTCGCCATCATCAGTGATACGCTGAGTATTGCAGGTTCAATTCTCAAAATATGCATACAGAGCAAGGTGAGCAAGAGATGTACAATAGAGGCTGGAACAAACCGAGATTTCAAGTGCCCCTATTATGCTTTTTCAAATATCACCTTCCATGTAGTCTGTAATATATAACTGTTTGTGAATGTAAAACATCTGCAAAGTTTCAGAGCTCAAAGTGCAGATAAATAAAGTTATTGTGTCCCAAAAGAAAGAAGCTATTCTGAACTGAACACAGTTTCACTTCCTGTTCGAACCTACGTAGTTTTGTGACAAATTAGCATAATCCAAGCCTGTGGTCTTCATTGGAAGAACAAGAACAACATCTACTTTGACCCTCAGACACTGTAGTTGTAGCTGAGACTGGAAGAGTTTGGCTTGTGTTGTTCATGTGGAGTAGATGCTGTTTTCTGCTGCCGAAGCAAATACACTTTGATTTATTTCCAAAGGATGAGACTGATATGGTAAAACCGACATCATCATTACTGTCAGAGTAGACCAATCACAACAGACTGGGCCATCTGACCAATCAGAGCAGAGTAGACCAATCACAACAGACTGGGCCATCTGACCAATCAGAGCAGAGTAGACCAATCACAACAGACTGGGCCATCTGACCAATCAGAGCAGAGTAGACCAATCACAACAGACTGGGCCATCTGACCAATAAGAGCAGAGTAGACCAATCACAACAGACTGGGCCATCTGACCAATCAGAGCAGAGCAGACCAATCACAACAGACTGGACCATCTGACCAATCAGAGCAGAGTAGACCAATCACAACAGACTGGGCCATCTGACCAATCAGAGCAGAGTAGACCAATCACAACAGACTGACCAATCAGAGCAGAGTAGACCAATCACAACAGACTGGGCCATCTGACCAATCAGAGCAGAGTAGACCAATCACAACAGACTGGGCCATCTGACCAATCAGAGCAGAGCAGACCAATCACAACAGACTGGGCCATCTGACCAATCAGAGCAGAGTAGACCAATCACAACAGACTGGGCCATCTGACCAATCAGAGCAGAGTAGACCAATCACAACAGACTGACCAATCAGAGCAGAGTAGACCAATCACAACAGACTGGGCCATCTGACCAATCAGAGCAGAGTAGACCAATCACAACAGACTGAGCCATCTGACCAATCAGAGCAGAGTAGACCAATCACAACAGACTGGACCATCTGACCAATCAGAGCAGAGTAGACCAATCACAACAGACTGGGCCGTCTGACCAATCAGAGCAGAGTAGACCAATCACAACAGACTGAGCCATCTGACCAATCAGAGCAGAGTAGACCAATCACAACAGACTGACCAATCAGAGCAGAGTAGACCAATCACAACAGACTGGGCCATCTGACCAATCAGAGCAGAGTAGACCAATCACAACAGACTGGGCCATCTAACCAATCAGAGCAGAGCAGACCAATCACAACAGACTGGACCATCTGACCAATCAGAGCAGAGTAGACCAATCACAACAGACTGAGCCATCTGACCAATCAGAGCAGAGTAGACCAATCACAACAGACTGGACCATCTGACCAATCAGAGCAGAGTAGACCAATCACAACAGACTGGGCCGTCTGACCAATCAGAGCAGAGTAGACCAATCACAACAGACTGAGCCATCTGACCAATCAGAGCAGAGTAGACCAATCACAACAGACTGGACCATCTGACCAATCAGAGCAGAGTAGACCAATCACAACAGACTGGGCCGTCTGACCAATCAGAGCAGAGTAGACCAATCACAACAGACTGAGCCATCTGACCAATCAGAGCAGAGTAGACCAATCACAACAGACTGGACCATCTGACCAATCAGAGCAGAGTAGACCAATCACAACAGACTGGGCCATCTGACCAATCAGAGCAGAGTAGACCAATCACAACAGACTGGGCCGTCTGACCAATCAGAGCAGAGTAGACCAATCACAACAGACTGGGCCATCTGACCAATCAGAGCAGAGTAGGCTCTCTGAAAGGAGGGGTTTAGAGAGACTGAATCTTGACATTTTGGGAAAAGAGGTGTTGCTGCATTAAATATTATGAGAAAATAAAATATGTGATGCATGTAAACCTATGGGAGACAACCAAAACAAATGACAAATCAGGAACCTTTAAAATAGCATCATAGGAGCACTTTAAAGGAAATCAGCCACAGTGTCCTCGTCAGATAAGCAGGCGTTTAGATCATGCGCTAATGTTCAGTGACTGCCTGTTTCCAGGAGCTGACGAACTATGACGTGTGCAGTATTCTGCTGGGAACAGCAACCATGCTTGTGTGGACTGGAGTGATGCGGTATCTGAGTTTCTTTCAGAAATATTATGTAAGCTACTAATTTATTCAGTTTTTGATGTTTAATCAGTTGATATAATACAAAAAAGATTCCTCACATTAATAACAAAGGGCACGTGTCCAAATTCAGTAATTCTATTGTATTGCTTTTTATTGTTATTCAATAGCTTCAGTTCCTCAAACATAAATAAAGTGTGCGTGTGCGGTCTATCTGTACTGGCCCTGTTCCTCCGCGTTCACTGCACAGTGTTCAGTCTGTACCGGGTGTGTTTGTGCCGGCAGATCCTCATCCTCACCCTGCAGGCGGCTCTTCCCAACGCCATCCGCTTCTCCATCTGCGCCGTCATGATCTACCTCAGCTACTGCTTCTGCGGATGGATCGTGTTGGGCCCGCATCACGAAAACGTGAGCAATATCGAAGAATACACCCAATGAAGATGCTTCATTTGAAGCCCTTGTTACTATAATATACCAAATTTACATGCTTATAATATCCTCGCATTATTATATTGTCCTTATATAATCAAATTATATGTATAGTGTTGTTCCATCCTTATTCTATGCATGGGTAGTGGACATAAAAATGAATTTCCTTATAGTGTCTTAATTTAGGAATTATTAATATGTGTACTTTTAGCACAATTTGTGTCAAAAACTTGTTGTTAAACCCTCAATTTAATATGCATGCACTTTTGTACAGTCGGAGAAACTTTTACACAATATATTACGTTTTGTACGCATAAAATTGTTAACCCTGAGTCTTTGGAAACACTAACTTGCTTTAGAAAACAATGCTGGTTCGGATGAAGTATAGCTGTTGCATGTTTCCTGTGCTGACTTTTGTACTTCCTGTCTCGGGTGCCATGTTTGTAGTTCTTTGTAGTTTTCCCTGTTGATTGTCTCACCCAGGTTTAGCATGTGTATAAATAGCCCTTGTGTTTCCTTTGTCAGTCGTTGATGTTTGATGTCACTCGTGTTGCTTTGTGTTCGTGGCTTTGCTTTCGTTAAATTAGTCCTTGCACTTAGATCCGTGCCTTCCTTCCCTCTATCCCAAAGTAACAATCGGATATAAAATGTCCCAAAAGTATGTAATATCGGCCACCCATAAGCAGTTTTAAGCCTAATGAATTAAGCATTTAAATGAAGAAAAATGATAATAATGCTTATTTCTTCACAGTTTCGGACATTTAACCTGGCCGCGGACTGCCTGTTTTCCATGATTAACGGGGATGAAGTGTACTCTTCCTTCAAGAAGCTGCGGGACAAGACCTATGTGGTGTGGCTGTTCAGCAGAATCTACATCTACAGCTTCATCTCTCTCTTTACATTCATGGTGTTGAGCCTCTTCATTGCCATCATACAGGACACGTATGAAACCATCAGGGTGAGTTTAGCCGGCTACTCGCACATAACACTCAACAACACCGCAGCAAGAGACTGCAACTGACACTGGACGTGTGTCCGGATATATAGTGTGTAAGCCTGTCACCACAATGCAGTGGTTTTGTGGTGAGTTGTTTTTGCTGCTAACACTCGGGACACACTGCTAACACACTGATACTCGGGACACACTGCTAACACGCTGATACTCGGGACACACTGCTAACACACTGACACTCGGGACACACTGCTAACACACTGACACTCGGGACACACTGCTAACACACTGATACTCGGGACACACTGCTAACACACTGATACTCGGGACACACTGCTAACACACTGATACTCAGGACACACTGCTAACACACTGACACTCGGGACACACTGCTAACACACTGATACTCGGGACACACTGCTAACACGCTGACACTCGGGACACACTGCTAACACACTGACACTCGGGACACACTGCTAACACACTGATACTCGGGACACACTGCTAACACACTGACACTCGGGACACACTGCTAACACACTGACACTCGGGACACACTGCTAACACGCTGACACTCGGGACACACTGCTAACACACTGACACTCGGGACACACTGCTAACACACTGATACTCGGGACACACTGCTAACACGCTGACACTCGGGACACACTGCTAACACACTGATACTCGGGACACACTGCTAACACACTGACACTCGGGACACACTGCTAACACGCTGATACTCGGGACACACTGCTAACACACTGATACTCAGGACACACTGCTAACACACTGATACTCGGGACACACTGCTAACACACTGATACTCAGGACACACTGCTAACACACTGACACTCGGGACACACTGCTAACACACTGATACTCGGGACACACTGCTAACACACTGATACTCGGGACACACTGCTAACACACTGATACTCGGGACACACTGCTAACACACTGATACTCGGGACACACTGCTAACACACTGACACTCGGGACACACTGCTAACACACTGATACTCGGGACACACTGCTAACACACTGATACTCGGGACACACTGCTAACACACTGACACTCGGGACACACTGCTAACACACTGATACTCGGGACACACTGCTAACACACTGACACTCAGGACACACTGCTAACACACTGATACTCGGGACACACTGCTAACACACTGATACTCGGGACACACTGCTAACACACTGACACTCAGGACACACTGCTAACACACTGACACTCAGGACACACTGCTAACACACTGATACTCGGGACACACTGCTAACACACTGATACTCGGGACACACTGCTAACACACTGATACTCGGGACACACTGCTAACACACTGATACTCGGGACACACTGCTAACACACTGATACTCGGGACACACTGCTAACACACTGATACTCGGGACACACTGCTAACACACTGATACTCGGGACACACTGCTAACACACTGACACTCGGGACACACTGCTAACACACTGATACTCGGGACACACTGCTAACACACTGATACTCGGGACACACTGCTAACACACTGATACTCGGGACACACTGCTAACACACTGACACTCGGGACACACTGCTAACACACTGACACTCGGGACACACTGCTAACACACTGACACTCGGGACACACTGCTAACACGCTGACACTCGGGACACACTGCTAACACGCTGACACTCGGGACACACTGCTAACACACTGATACTCAGGACACACTGCTAACACACTGATACTCGGGACACACTGCTAACACACTGATACTCGGGACACACTGCTAACACACTGATACTCGGGACACACTGCTAACACACTGATACTCGGGACACACTGCTAACACACTGATACTCGGGACACACTGCTAACACACTGATACTCAGGACACACTGCTAACACACTGATACTCGGGACACACTGCTAACACACTGATACTCGGGACACACTGCTAACACACTGATACTCAGGACACACTGCTAACACACTGATACTCAGGACACACTGCTAACACACTGATACTCGGGACACACTGCTAACACACTGATACTCGGGACACACTGCTAACACACTGATACTCAGGACACACTGCTAACACACTGACACTCGGGACACACTGCTAACACACTGATACTCGGGACACACTGCTAACACACTGATACTCAGGACACACTGCTAACACACTGATACTCGGGACACACTGCTAACACACTGATACTCGGGACGGGACACACTGCTAACACACTGATACTCGGGACACACTGCTAACACACTGCTAACACACGGGACACACTGCTAACACACTGATACTCGGGACACACTGCTAACACACTGATACTCGGGACACACTGCTAACACACTGATACTCGGGACACACTGCTAACACACTGATACTCGGGACACACTGCTAACACACTGATACTCGGGACACACTGCTAACACACGGGACACACTGCTAACACACTGATACTCGGGACACACTGCTAACACACTGATACTCGGGACACACTGCTAACACACTGACACTCGGGACACACTGCTAACACACTGATACTCGGGACACACTGCTAACACACTGACACTCGGGACACACTGCTAACACACTGACACTCGGGACACACTGCTAACACACTGATACTCGGGACACACTGCTAACACACTGACACTCGGGACACACTGCTAACACACTGATACTCGGGACACACTGCTAACACACTGATACTCGGGACACACTGCTAACACACGGGACACACTGCTAACACACTGATACTCGGGACACACTGCTAACACACTGATACTCGGGACACACTGCTAACACACTGACACTCGGGACACACTGCTAACACACTGATACTCGGGACACACTGCTAACACACTGACACTCGGGACACACTGCTAACACACTGACACTCGGGACACACTGCTAACACACTGATACTCGGGACACACTGCTAACACACTGACACTCGGGACACACTGCTAACACACTGATACTCGGGACACACTGCTAACACACTGACACTCGGGACACACTGCTAACACACTGACACTCGGGACACACTGCTAACACACTGACACTCGGGACACACTGCTAACACGCTGATACTCGGGACACACTGCTAACACGCTGATACTCGGGACACACTGCTAACACACTGACACTCGGGACACACTGCTAACACACTGACACTCGGGACACACTGCTAACACACTGATACTCGGGACACACTGCTAACACACTGATACTCGGGACACACTGCTAACACACTGACACTCGGGACACACTGCTAACACGCTGACACTCGGGACACACTGCTAACACGCTGATACTCGGGACACACTGCTAACACACTGATACTCGGGACACACTGCTAACACACTGATACTCGGGACACACTGCTAACACACTGATACTCGGGACACACTGCTAACACACTGACACTCGGGACACACTGCTAACACACTGACACTCGGGACACACTGCTAACACGCTGACACTCGGGACACACTGCTAACACACTGATACTCGGGACACACTGCTAACACACTGATACTCGGGACACACTGCTAACACACTGATACTCGGGACACACTGCTAACACACTGATACTCAGGACACACTGCTAACACACTGATACTCGGGACACACTGCTAACACACTGATACTCGGGACACACTGCTAACACACTGATACTCGGGACACACTGCTAACACACTGATACTCGGGACACACTGCTAACACACTGATACTCGGGACACACTGCTAACACACTGATACTCGGGACACACTGCTAACACACTGACACTCGGGACACACTGCTAACACACTGATACTCGGGACACACTGCTAACACACTGATACTCGGGACACACTGCTAACACACTGATACTCGGGACACACTGCTAACACACTGACACTCGGGACACACTGCTAACACACTGACACTCGGGACACACTGCTAACACACTGATACTCGGGACACACTGCTAACACATTGATACTCGGGACACACTGCTAACACACTGATACTCGGGACACACTGCTAACACACTGACACTCGGGACACACTGCTAACACACTGCTAACACACTGATACTCAGGACACACTGCTAACACACTGATACTCGGGACACACTGCTAACACACTGACACTCGGGACACACTGCTAACACACTGATACTCGGGACACACTGCTAACACACTGACACTCGGGACACACTGCTAACACACTGACACTCGGGACACACTGCTAACACACTGCTAACACACTGATACTCGGGACACACTGCTAACACACTGATACTCAGGACACACTGCTAACACACTGACACTCGGGACACACTGCTAACACACTGATACTCGGGACACACTGCTAACACACTGATACTCGGGACACACTGCTAACACACTGATACTCGGGACACACTGCTAACACACTGATACTCGGGACACACTGCTAACACACTGACACTCGGAACACACTGCTAACACACTGACACTCGGGACACACTGCTAACACACTGATACTCGGGACACACTGCTAACACACTGACACTCGGGACACACTGCTAACACACTGACACTCGGGACACACTGCTAACACACTGACACTCGGGACACACTGCTAACACGCTGATACTCGGGACACACTGCTAACACGCTGATACTCGGGACACACTGCTAACACACTGACACTCGGGACACACTGCTAACACACTGACACTCGGGACACACTGCTAACACACTGATACTCGGGACACACTGCTAACACACTGATACTCGGGACACACTGCTAACACACTGACACTCGGGACACACTGCTAACACGCTGACACTCGGGACACACTGCTAACACGCTGATACTCGGGACACACTGCTAACACACTGATACTCGGGACACACTGCTAACACACTGATACTCGGGACACACTGCTAACACACTGATACTCGGGACACACTGCTAACACACTGACACTCGGGACACACTGCTAACACA